CATGTGCTTGAAACCAGAAGTATACAACATACATCAAATTTGAAAGAGGTTGTTCCCACTTTGAGGGAATGATTGTTCTGACCTCATTGGACAGAGTGGGACTTTCAAGCTTGGAATATTACCATTAAGGTGAGAATGGCCTCAAGATATTTCCTTATTGGACATTGGAATAGGTGATTAGAACTTAAGCCAGAGCATTTCAAAGTCATACCATTTTGAATTCAAACACTTTTGCACACCTTTATGCGGAACTCAAATTAGCATGTGCCCAACTTAATTATAATTTTTTTCTTTATTATATTGCACATTTGGAATATCCAACTGACTATGTGTTTATTGTACTTGGAGACTTTAATCAGGCTAATTTGAAAACAGCCCTCCCTCATTTTCATCAATATGTGGATTTTGCAGCTAGGAGTAGGAACACATTGGATTTAGGCTATTCTAACATCAAGAGTGCATTTAAGGCTTTCCCCCACCCCAATATTGGTTCCTCAGACCATCTCACTATAATGCTAATTCCAGCATATAGGCCTTTGTTAATTAGAGAAAAACCAATTGTGAAGCAGGTGAGAGTCTGGCCCGAGGGAGCAATGGAAGCATTACAAGGATGTTTTGAGTGTACAGACTGGGATGTGTTTAGGGAAGCTGCAACGAATAACCAGCATACGAATGCGGAGGAATACGTTTCATCAGTAACTGCATACTGTATATTCAGAAGTGTATGGAAGATGTCAGTGTTACTAAGAACCTTATCATACGGGCGAATCAGAAAGCTTGGATGACTCATGAAGTATATGTAAAGCTGAAAGCGAGGAACGCTGCTTTTAAGTCTGGTGATATGGAGGCTCTTAAAACAGCCAGAGCTGATCTGAACTGGGCTAAGAACAGCAAAGCGGGCTTATGGTCAGAAAGTTCAGGATTTCTTTCAAGATCCTACAAATACCAGGCGGAGGTGGCAGGGTATTCAGACTGTTACAGATTATAAGGCCACTCCGACATCATGTGAGGAGAATATATGAACTTAATGGGTTTTTTGGTAGGTTTGAAGCATTTAACGACACTCCTGTGAGGAGGGCTGTATCTCATCCAGACGAGCAGGCACCTACCATTGATATAGTTGACGTTCGGAGGACCCTGAGAAAAATCAATATTTGAAAAGCAGCAGGCCCAGATAATATTCCAGGGTAGGTACTGAGGGACTGTGCTGAACAGCTGGCCAGTGTCCTCACAGACATATTCAATATTTCCTTGCACCAGGCTGTGGTCCCGGTAGGCTTCAAGACTGCGACTCTCATATCTGTGCCTAAAAAATCTACAATCACATGTCTTAATGATTATCGCCCGATAACTCTCACTCCCATTGTGATGAAATGTTTTGAGAGACTGATGAAGGATTACATCGTTTCCAGACTCCCTCCTTTGTTTGATCCACTCCAGTTTGATCCAGTTATCAGCGGAATCGCTCTGTAGACAATGCCATCTCTTCTGTTCTTCATTCGTGTCTAGTACATCTTGAGGAGAAGAACAGTTATGTGCGTCTGCTATTTATAAATTTCAGCTCAGCATTTAATACGATTGTTCCCCAACATTTGGTGGACAAACTGGGTTCCCTGGGTTTTAGTACTCCCTTGTGTAACTGACTACTTGATTTCCTTACTGAGAAGTCCCAGTCAGTGCGAGTTGGAAATAATATCTCTAGTTCTATTTCTCTGAGCATGGCTCCCCACAGGGATGTGTTCTGAGCCGATTGTGGTTCACCCTGATGACCCATGACTCTTGTGCTAGGTTTACCACCAATTCCATTGTGAAAATGCGGATGATACAACGGTGGTGGGCCTTATCAGGGATGACAATGAGTGGGCTTATAGGGAAGAAGTGAAGGGTCTGGTGGAGTGGTGTAATAAAAATAGTTTGGTGCTAAATGTGGAAAAAACTAAGGAGATTATCATAGATTTCAGGAAGAATCGGTGTAGTCACACTCCACTTTTTATTACTAACATAGCTGTGGAGTCAGTCAGTAGTGTTAGATTCCTAGGGGTGCAGTTAACAAATCATCTGACCTGGTCCCTTAACACCAAATTTCTGGTGAAATGAGCACAGCAACGTTTGCTTTTTTTGCGCCGAATGAGGAAAGTACATCTCTCATCCTCCATTCTCCTTACTTTCTATAGAGGTACTACAGAGAGTGTACTCACTACTGCATTTCCATCTGGTATGGAGGCTGTAGTGTCTCAGACAGGAAGTCTGTGCAGAGGGTAGTAAGGGCAGCAGAGAAGATAATTGGGATCTCTTTGCCTCTCATCCAAGACCTAGGATATGCGCACTATTTGTCTAGAGCTTGAAAGATCATCAGTGATGCCTCCCATCCTCATCATGGCCTGTTTTGTTACCTTCTGGGAAGAGGTTCCACTGTATCCGATGTAGAACAGCCAGATTGGGAAATAGCTTTGTCCCCCAGGCT